GTGTTAAAAAAAAAATACATTGAGACTGTTTCTATGGAAGATGTAACACCGAGACAACACATCAAAACTGCATCAAGAAATTCTGTGGGAATATGTCTCAGAGGCTAATTTGGACCTCGTCAATCCTAGAGTTTTTGCAACAACCAAAATTCTCCATCTTCTTTTTTGTTTGTCCACAGAAGTATCAGCAGTATGAATCAGAGTTAACAGAGCTGAATGCTGAGTTACTTTAATGAGTGGTTTGGGGGGAGTTTGAGAAGATTTTACCATGAAAATGTTACTCACATTTCCATAGTTAGGTTTGAGGCAAAGCTCTTACCACATCATTTCCATTCTACATACCCTAAACTTTTAAGCAGACTAACAATCAGTTAAAATCATTCTGTGCACTTATTTTCAGATTTATAGGATTAGAATTATGTCTGCAAGGACTCAAAATGTGTAATTGCTCATTACTTTCTCCTATGTATGCCTAAAGGCAAAAATAAGGCCAAAATTCTGAAAAAAAGCTAGTATATATTCATTTGAAGCAGAACTTGGTATGGTCTTTTCCACTGATACTATGTGAAGTCTTTGTAGGACATCCCATTTTAGCAGCAAGCTGTAGGTGGAAGGAGCAGGCTTTGGACAAACAAGAAAAGCTGAATAAGCATAAACATTATCCAGCTCCATTGCTTCTGCAGAGCTTCATCATAAATTCAACCAGAAACAATATTATTCAAATATCTTTTACTCTCAGATGTATACATGCATCAGAAGCTAACAACAGTAGAAGTAGCACTCATCCTCCTTCCCTCCCTCATGCATGTACGCTGTTTTTCTTTACAGGGCTTGTCAAACCCTTTTTTAAACTAAAAATCCCACTGCATAAAGGAATCTTATTTTTTGGTGGGGTTTCTTTGGAAAATGTAGATGTCAGGTAAAATTCAATGTTTTTAAATAAACAAATATTTATAATACTGAAAATACTGACAATTTTTTAGAGTTCTACAGTAGCTGTATGTGAAGGAGGTCAGCCTTGTTGTCCATATTTGGTGATTTAAGTGTCTAAAAATCCCAAACGTAACCAGTATATATTTTGAAACATTTTTGTCAGATGTTTTTAGAAATTAATTGCCATCACAATTCGTAACTCATTTTGCACCTAAATTCTGTTTGAAAGCGGTGGAGAATGAACTGTGTAGATTTTCAGGGAGACAGCTGCAGCTTGGATTCAGAGCCATTTGTGGCTAGTACAAGTTAGAGTTGTAACAGCTGTAAATTTCTTCAGGGACTTCACTCTAGGAGATCATCAAGTTAAGGGAGTCTCTCGTTATGGACGGACAGGGTACAAACATGCCTTTTTTGATCATAGTCAGTCCCAGGAACAGATTTACTGTGCAAGAAGAAGCAAGCAGAGACTATCAGGAGATTAACTACATTAGTACAGACTGGAGTATGGTATGCTTCTCCTTATGGGATGGGGCACACCCATTTGCATTTGCAGACCCCCTTTCTGGATTCAGCCACTTCCATACTTGTGTTCTGAATTTTTGCACAGACATTTTTTCTTCTTCTAGCTGGCAACAGTAAGTAGAAATAGTTATGATTCTAATTCTCAATCCTTTTAACTATGTACTTTTGATAACATGAACTTCTCCAGACTCATTAAACATGCATATGCAAAGCAAAAGAGACAAACAATTAGCTCCTTTTAATTGAGTATATCTTGTTCTTTATCATACTTACTGATAAATACGTAAGTCATGCCATAGCTACATTGTTCCGTGCTTTTGGACAACTCTTTCATATGCACCCTTCTGTGCTTTGGATAAAGCATGCTTACATCTTCTGAACTATGCTGTCTTATGCAATTAAGCCAAACAATCTGTGGTATGCTGTCAGCTGACAATGTCAGCACAACATGCTAGGCAGGTTATCGGTTGAGATGTAGGAGGTATACTTGAAAAACTACTTTTAGTTAGAATTTATAGCATATTTTAGGCTGAAAAGAATGGTTATGAACATCTGTTCTGCCTTCCTACATTAGGCACATGAAAAAAAATATTAAAGGATAGTGGAAGAAATTATTTTCTACCTATTTTGCTCTTTGCAAAAGAGCAAAAAGCAAGTGGATAATTGGATTCTGTTTTGTACAATAATAGCAGTCTTTCAAAAAGCGGAATGTTCTCACTGGCAATATTAAAGGTCTGGCATTTATTTACTCAAATATTACCTGATTTTTGTCCGTCCGACTTCAAGTATTATCATTTCTAAGTAGTCCTAAACTGTCATTTTGGATTGTAGACTCTAAGTATAAATACAAACACAATGAAGTACTCAAACAATGGAAAATGGAGGGAGGAAGGGGAGGGCCTAATACCACGCAACAGTTTATATTTAAATGTAAGCACATCTGTATAGGCACACACAAGCATATACAAAGAAATTAGACAATTATGCAATGACCTTTGTATATTTATTTCCAAAAAGTAAGAACTGCAATTTCCATTTATTTGTGCAAATTAAAATATTGATGTTTTATCATGAGGAGTTTTACCCTGGTAAAGATGGTTACAAATCAGATCCACATCCATGTGGATCTCATCTGATCAATAATCAAAGATGTAGTTCTGACTGCCTTGGTGGTGACACAAAATAGGAATTACATGTTACCTCAGGTGCCATAATTAACTTCAGGGGAAGTATTGACATAAATGAGGTTTCGGTTTTGTTTTGGTATTACAGATTTTCTAATCTCATGCTTCCTTTTGTGTGGATTATTTAGAGAGCAGGAGTACAGGAGTGCTACCGTGTAAGAGGCCTGCTTCTTCAGGATGAAAAAGGCTGTATCGTTAGAAAAGGACCTTGTTAATGCTGAAGATAAGTAACTGGCAGCTAGTTTTGGAAAGAAAAGTATATCCTCTATAGTTTTCTATCAATTTACATAACAAAATGTCTTATTGATAATGCAAACAACTTCAAAAGCGAAAAGGAAATCCAGTTTATCCTGTCTCACAACTGCCACATGTACTTTCTCACTATAGGATGTCATGTATAAACAAGTTTATAAAATTAGACTATTTAAAAGGACACAAATGTAAACACACAGTAAAAGTGCTTTTTTACACTGGTGGAAAACAAGACTGGACTTTACAAACCAATCAGCTCATTGAAACTTAATATTCTCAATGAAAATAAATGAGTCTGTCACTTTAACAGGCAATGATCCTGTTGCTTTCCCTAAATGGCTGAACTCTTACGGATATCCAGAAGTTAGGACAGTTCAGTTTTTCTCCACTGATAACTACCAGGACCTTACTTCATGTACATAGTTTCACTGCACATTATGTTAATACAACAGATGTGAAAATAAAATCTTCAAGATAGTCTGGAGCTCAACATATAAGTATTTTGGAGAGACATGTGAGACATTTGCAGGGATATTCTTACAGAATAAAATAAATACAATGACGAAAATAAAGGTCTTAGCTCTACCAGACTGGCCATTAGAAAAATTAAAATCATATCTTGCTGGTACTTTTTTCTGTTTAGGAGCAGACACAGTAATGGCACTTAGATACCTGTAAGTAAGTAACTGTGATGCCGGTCAGATATGTGGCCTCTGAAGTGGAATCCAAAAACTTGTTATGCACTGAACAAGTGAAGTACTTAATAAATGTAAATTGTCTCAGAATAATAATTCATAGAGCTAAGTGATACAGATAGCTATAATGGAGTAGGTAAACTGATTGAAAAAGAAAAAAAAAAAAAAAAGGGATTGCTCTGGATCCCAGACTTCCTCTCCCAGGAGGATTTTGTTACTTTAAACCGGTAACTTTAAGTGAAAAGAAACAGAACATTCTAGGAAACAGGGACTAAAAATTTGAGTTACCTAGGAGTCCTTGCCACTGGAGTCATATTCCCCATACGTGCTCTACTTCGGGTGCCAAATCTTGGGAATCAGATACACATGCAAATTAATAGAGCTCATTAAGTTACCTTCTATCAGCTGAACCATGGTAACCAGCCTGGAGTACTCTTCTCCTGTGGCACATGTGAGATAAACGCACAGTAATTCACACCTGGTTTCTATACTTAATGCGACTTAGCTGCTTGCTTTCGAGACCAGAACAGTTCAGGACACAAATGGTATGTGCGCATATTCCCCACTGGTGCTTCTGTTAAAAAAAAAAAAAAAGAAGAAAAAAAAGTAAGTTTAGGTACTTGCAGAGTTAAAGAAGGGTCCCCTTTTTTTAATATAAATTTTGAACTCGGGTATTTTAAACGTCAAGGTGCTTTTCAGGAACTCCCTGAAGTTTAGCAAGAGCTCAGGAGGATGTGGAGCGGGGTTAGCGGGACCTGAAAGGGAGCCAAACGGAACCCAACACCGCCACGACGCAGGGCAGAAGGCGGCAGCGGCAAAACCGCCCTTGTCCCGGGGCGCGCTCCCGGTGCCCCCGGGGCCCGGCCAGCCCCCCGGGGCCCGGGCCGCCGGCCGCTCCCCAGACAAAAGGGCGCTCGCTCGGTCCGTCAGCCCTCAGGCCGGGGCGCTGCCCCGCGGGGCCGGTGTTGGGCCGGGACGCGCGCACGGGACTCCCGCGCCCCCTCCCAGCTGCCCCAAAAGGGACGCGGCCGGAGCGCTCAAGCTCCCGGGAGCCGATGGGGTCGCGGGGGCCCGGCCCGTGAGGCCGCCGTCCCCCCCCCTCAGGTGGTTGTCGCCTGCCCCCCCCCACAGCAGCCGAGCCCCTGCGGGACGCGGGCAGAGCCCGTTTGGAAGCGGGAAGGGTGTGTTCCCCGTTCCCCCCCCCCAGCCCCTTCTCCTACCCCCTGCCCTCCGGCCTGCCCCTCCGCAGCTCCCCCGCTGGATGTTTTCTGTCCCAGAGCGCCGGTCGGGGCCTGCCCAGCCCGGCGGCGGCGGGCAGCGCCGGCAGGGTTAACCCTGAGGAATGCGGCGGGAGGAATGTGCATGCAGATGAGATGGATGCTAATCTCATGCTAATGAGCGGCGGCCGCGGCCGCCCGGGGCTCAGCCGGGCTCCCCGCGCCCAGACGGCAGCTGAGCTCCGCCGGCGAGCCTGACCCGGGCTGCCGCGGCGCGGGCGAGGCGGCAGCCCAGGCATGGTGGACTGAGACCCGGCCGCGGAGGAGGGCTTGCCTGGGCTTCTGTTCCCGGCCCGCTGCGTGCCCCCCAGCCCCCGCTCCCGGCCCCGTGTCCCGTCCCCCCCCCCCCCCCGAGCTCGGGTGGGGGCTTTTCCCGCTTCCCGTCTTTCTTTCTGTCCCTATGGAGCAGCTACCCCCGCCGCCCGACCATGCCTAGGAAAGCGGGGAATGGGCAGCTCCCTTTACCCGATGGCTGGGAGGAGGCGAGGGATTACGACGGCAAAGTCTTCTACATCGACCACAACACCAAGCAAACCAGCTGGATCGACCCCCGGGACAGGTGGGTGCCTGGGCAGGGGGGCGGGAGCGGGCTCGGGGCTGCCGGGCCCCCCGCCGCTGGGGCAGCTCCGTCGCGGAGGGGACGGGGCAGGGGGGTACCCCTCTCGGGACGGGGGGGGAGGGCCGGAGGAGCCCTGGCTTACAGCCGGGCACGCCGTGCCCTCCTTCCCATCGGCGCCTGTTTTTAAACCCGTTGCGTGAGCTGATGTAGCGGAGGGGGGGGGGGGGGGGGGGGAAAGCCTTCCAGGCTCTTCCCGGGAGGCGACGCGGGGGGGGGTGGGGGGGTGTCGCTGGCGTGTGGGGAGTTCCCGACAGGTACCGAAGTTTGCGAGTCGCTCCCAAACTGGAGGCGCTGGGTGCTTCGCCCATCCCTGTACACCCCACCCCCCCCCCCCCCGCTCCCGGCTGGCCTGCCCCTCCCCTGGCCGGCCCCGGGGACCGCCGGCGCCGCGGCCGGCCTGGCCCGCCCGGGCAGCTCCGCGCTGCTGGCGGAGAAGGAGCCGGGGCCGGGGGGAGGCCGCGTGTGCTCGCTAGGCCTCAGCAAACCCCAAAAATCCTCTTGGCCCCCCGCCAGCCGGGGCCCGGGGGGGTTGCTGCCCTTTCCAGGTCTGAGCGCCGTAAAGCGGCAAACCTCCTTTGAAAGCGCTTCAGGGAGCGAGGGAACCGGCTCGAAGGCTTCTCGCCCAGCAAGTCCCCAGGGCAGATCTTTCATGTGGGGAGGGATACAGGCTCTTCGGGTAGGCTTCAGTGGCTGTTTTTAAGAGCTGGATGATAAGACGCCTAAGATACCTACTGTAAAAAGTATCTTTTGTCCAAAGTGGTCCTGAAAAGTAATTAAAAAGCCAAAACTTTGTGTGTATCTTGAAATGCAGTGTTGGTATTGAAACAGTGCAGTCTAATTATCAAAAACTTTTAAAAGACATTATAAATTGATGAAACAAGCTGCACTGAATTATAAATGAAGTCCTTGGTTTACGTTTCTCTATTGAAATTAGAAAAGGTAGTTGTGACGAAGCTTGCTGGCTGTAAGTTGCATAGGGAAAGTTTTGACAAGCATCAGATGGTGTGTTAGGCCTACTTCTCTGTCCAACTTGCTACAGCAGCAAATTCCGGTAGTGGCAAACTTAAATTCCTTTGTTCTTCAAAACGTGTTTAATAACTGGTAAATACTAGTGAGGTGGTAAGGTATGCAGGACAGTGTTACTTACTATACCTGGCATTCTCAGGTGATTATTTATTTTTTTACTGCAGGCAACAAAAACTTCTGGTTTTACTGTCTCTATAAATAGTGGATTTGAAGTTTTGTTTAGTTTTAGACTTTTAATTTGTGATTGCAAAGAGAATACAAGATGGCATGATTGGGATAAAGCAAAATGTGACATTGGAGTGTACTGCCTCCTGTGTGTACTAATTTAAAATTTTTTATATACATTCTGTAGTCCTGCAAAGTTCAAGAGTGTTCCTATTTGGTGGTAAAATTTGAGTCTTCACTCTCATTAACAGAGTAGACAACTAAGTGAGTAACACTTACGTGTTTGCCATCCTGTAGAGATAGGATAAATATTGTTTCATTACTATCTTGATTACAGGTGAAAGAGAAATCAAGCCCTGAGACTTGATAATCTGTCATGATAACTAAGGAAGCAAAGACCTTTTTCAGAAAGAGTGGTGTTTGAAATAATTGTTAACCTACATCAGTCATGCAAAACAAACAGAAAGAGGGATTTTGCCCTAGGTACTTGAGAGGATCCATGACTTAGTGTACATGGATCAACTGTGAAGCTGAAGTGTCTGCACAGGAGAGAGACGCACAAGCCCATTTGATGTGCAGCTTACAATATTTGTATTTACAGTATCCCTATTTACAATCTGTGTTTATATTGGTGACCTGGTTTGGAAGAGTGTGTAAGAAATGCATGAAAGTCCTGTGGTGACTTTGCTCTAGATTCTACTGTATCTTCAAGGTATTTAGAGAGTATATGTTTGGAAACCCTACAGGACATAATAAGGGCTTCAGAAAAACTGACAAGTGATCTTCCAGGTTTGTCAATACAATAAAATCTAGATTTAAGCTGTTTCTAAAACTTGCCTTAAATTGTCAAAATGAAGATAATGAGTTCTACAGAAAGACTGAAAACACGTTCTCTTGTTTGGTGATACTTTAGGACTTTTTTTTCCAACTATTTTCTCTGATGGAGGTCATCAGGTTTTCATAATGTACTTGGCAAATATTACAGTACATGGGCTCCTAAAAAATATTTAATTGTTAAAGCAAGTGTAGAATAGATTAGCTTTTATGGACAATATTTCTTCTGTTGTTGTTAACGCTGCATCCCCTGGATGATTACATAGAAGAGTCCAGCTTCATGTTTTAAGATAATTTTGATCATCTTTGATTTAGAAGAGATGAATACAGAAGAGTAGTGCTGTGAGACATCAGCCATATGTCTGTGGGTTGCCAGGTGTATTTGAGCACAGTTAGGGACCTCTTTGTTACTAGTTTAAAATATTCATGTCTAAAAATAAGCTGATGGCTGAAAATGCCATATTTCGAAACTTCTTGGAAAATTCTGTGTGTTTGGGTTTTTTTAATGATGATTTTTCTTGTGCTTTTCTAGACTGTTCTGATAGTACATGTATTTGTTACTGCTTATATGGTGCAGGTTTGTTAATATAATGACAGCCTTGTGTACAGCTGTGGAAAAAAACCTCATGTCAGCTTCAAGCTTGGGGCTCAGTTTTCAGTTTTCAGTTTTGCCCACTTCGTTTATCTGAGTAATCCCATTGACATTAGAGAATCTCACACTTCTAAGGGAAAGAGTGACTTGGCTTGTGTTTTAGAGAGTGTTGTGGAAGCTATTTGAATTGCTCTGTTCTTTAGGGTATTTTAATGTTTAGCACTATTTGACAGTGATTTTTCTCTCCGTTTAAGGTACGTGTTGATTTGTTTTGAAAACTGGTGGCCCAAAAGAGAGGGCACATTAAGATAGAAACTGTGAAAAAGAGAAAAAGGCAAGATGTGGCAGTTGTAGTAACATTTTCACTTGCTAAATATACAGATGTTATTTCTTTGTTTATGACTTCTCCAAGCTCCAGCAAACTGAGAACTAAATGATCCTGACAGTTCTGAAACTGATTTATTGTAAGAAGGGAAATAGCCCAAAATATCAGTTGTATACTGCTACCACTTGACAAAGTTATAAAAAGCCAACTATGGACTGAAGAGGATGAGCCAGATGAAAAGGTGAAGAAAGGGTTAGAGGAATTCATAACTTTTCTTTGAAGTTCCCTTGAAACTTTCAAGTTCCTGGAATAATGAGTTACTAGTGTAACAACAGGTGTTGGTGTGTTGTTTGTGTGTTGGGTGTATTTTTGTGTTTGTTTTTTTTTTGTTTTTTTGTTTGTTTGTTTTTCTGATAGACAATGAAGAGGGGCTTGTGATGAAGAAAGAAATTTGAAAAGCAAAATTTTTCATTTTTTCCATTGTTCCAACATATTTTATTAGGCCTCATGTTTGTTATATTCCTTAGCAGAACCAACAGAATAAAGCACCAGGGAGGATCTGAATAGGAGATAGGAATCTCAGTACCCTCAAATCTTTAGCAGCTGGATGACGTTTGGTTTTCTCACCAGGAATGTGGAGCTTCTCATATTTTGGTTTCTACAATGTCCATGCTCCACTGCTGATCACCACTGACTCAAAACAGATTTTATTTTTTTTTTTTTAGCTTGTCTAAAATAAGTTCCACATCACAAATTCTGAAGCTGCAAGTGATCTTTATTTAAATGTTTATCTGTACTCCCATCAGAGTGGTAAGGAGTGAGCTGCTATGAAAACAAAACTATCCTTTCTTTCTGCCCCATTTTCAGTTCTCTTTCCACTGATGAGAAAAATCTGTTTAAAATACATTTGTGCATTTGAAGTAGTTCATGGTATACTTTTGCTAGAATGTTTCTACACTACTCGCTAACTGTATGACCAAGAAAGTGCCTGAGAAACATTGAATGTGCAGAAACCAGAGAACTTTGCAAGTTGAGATTGTGAAAGAGTTTTCTTTGTGGTGATACAGAGAGGAATGCAGTTTCCATTGCTGCTTTCATCTTTTGGGGAGGTGAAAACACTCCAATTTTTATAATGGAATTCTGTAACTTGTGCAAGATTCGTCTGAATAGGAACATTTATTAGGTTTCAGCAATTAAATATTGTGTGCCCTCTTCCCTTAGAAAAAGAGGGAACTTTGTTTCTTAATTTTTCACTGGAACTTGCTTTCTCTTCTCCTGTGAACAGCAGAGGCTGTGAGGAGGGAAGATACTGAGGCTGAAGTTACTTGAGCAGGGGGACTTCCATCCCCTTTCTTTCCTGTGCACTACCAGAGCTCAGGGGTGTCTGGTAGAAGGCTTCCAGTCACAGCGGAGACTCAGGGAAGTAGGAGGCCTGTAAGATACTGTGCTGGTAAAAGATAAGGGTACTAAACAAGAGGCAAGCGGCAAAGGCAATAGCATAATGGGAGGCATCATCAGAGACTGAAAAATCCCTTCAGATAGATTCCTTTTTGCATGGAAGTAAGCTGTGTTGTGACAGATGAGTAGAATAACTTACTGTCTGAAGTGTCTGGACACTGAGGTGAATATAGTTCTTTGAGAGATTGGTGATTGCAGGCCTTCAGCTAAAGTAGGAAAAAAATCTGGGACGTTAAAACTTCTGGGTGGGTGGAAGGGAAAAAAATTTAGGCAAAAAAGAAGAGTACAAGTCATCTGTCCTCTGAAGAATAATGATGTTAAATTGAACAGTTAGTCATTATATTTTTGAAAGGGATGGATCTTAATTCTGTTATAAGTGCAAATCTGAACATTGCTTTTATAAGGCACAACCGGAGCAAATACCTGATAAATCCTTTCTTTAGGCTGCTGCTTGCTAAGAATTAATGTAATGGCAAACCATTACTGAAAGGTTACCTTTCTTTTTCCCTCTCTATTTTCCCTTGCATCTCCCTTGTTTGC